CTAGCATTTTAATCACTTCCTGTGAAGCCCTAAGTATCCTTGACCTTGCAGATCAAATGCCCTCACCCTAAGTTAAACTGCCCCATACTTCCCTCTTTGACTTTTGCTTAGACCAACCACATAGATGCTCAATGTAATGCAACCAGCATTGTTTCCACATTATGATAAGTGAGTAAATCCTTAAGTTTATACATATCCTATAAAGGGGCACATAGTAGGTGCTTAAAACCTCCTTAGTTACTGAAATAACAGCATATTCATGGATGTTTCTATTTCAATGACAAACCCAAAGGAGCTTTGGTGTCCAAAAACCACTTTAAGGAAATAGGTTCCTCTTAAAAATAAATAAGTTTTTCCTCAAAACAATTCAACTGTCTTCAAATTTTAAAAATCTTACAAAGTTACAGACAAGAGCAAAAGCAACCTGCATTGACTCACTTGCTAGATGTTGACCTAAAACTAAAGGTAAGTGTGGAAAATATAACAATGCAATTTGATTACTATTTTGAATACAAAGACTGAAACCAAATATTGGGACTGATTTTGTTGGTTAAGTCATCCAGAGACAAATTAATTTGATCATTTAAATCTCAACTTTATGGTATGCCCTATATATGACTCAAATGCCACTTCTAATTAACTTTTACTTTTTCTTTTTTTTCTTGCTAACTTATCTTTGAATGTCAGTAAATAAAAGGGAAAAGATGCAAAAATTTACAAGGTTGAGAGTAGTAGAGAAAGTATTCTGATTCGTGTTTTCTATTTATGGATCACCTTCTGTATGGGTTTGGCATTCATTCTGAAACTTATTGGGGGCTGTAAAATAGTACCTGTAAATAAATAAATAGTACCTGGGTTATTTATTTCTGGTAAATGTTTTATATAAACATTTTCAGTGAATATATATTAATAATTTTGCAGTTTCAAATTAAGATTTTTGATTCCTATTTGTTTTCCTGATGTGGTTTTCCTCCTTAATTACCTGTTTCAGAGGTTTTTCTTTCAGTGTCTGTCTCCCTGTGTTCCCTGGAGGCCTCATAATTAGAGCTTGTAGTGCCTCCGCACCAAACAGGAAGCTAAGAAAATCTTGCTTGGTTTCAGGTTTTTGTAAAAATTTGAAACTTGGAACTGGGTTCATAAAAGTTTTCTTGAGGTAGACAAACCTTTCAGCAAGTACTGTTAAAATCTGGGATGGATTCAAAGTCAGCCTGAGCCAATTAATTTTTTGGCAGGGAACATTGTAACATATGACAGTGTGTCTGTGCTAGATGGCTTCATATAAAAATGGGTGACTTTGGATGGATTTGGCTTTGAATGTGTTGGCTCTTTTACCTAAAGGCACAAAATGAGATTCAGTGCTTGTACAATTCTATCCTCTCAGGTTCCTCATAGGGAGATCTGCCTGCTGCCATTTTATTTCCCAAGCAGAGTATTTCTTAACACAGTACTGAATATTTTTTCCCAGTCAGTGTTAACATTGGAATTTCTCTCTCTTCATAAAGAGTGCATATCAAATAATAAAGTTAAACAAAGGTAAATATATACCAAATAAGCATCATATACGGCAGGTATTTCTGCTTCATTTTCAACACCTAAAACAATGCCTAGTACATAGTTGTGTTCAATGAATATTCGTTAATGAATAGTCATATCTCCATAGAAACACCATAGCAGTAGAATTAATGAAACAAGAGATTCCTGGTATCTTCCCAAAGTCCTTAGGCTTTCTACTAGACTTGTTTGTACTTTTCCCCTCAAATATTCAATTTACCAGTTATCACAAGGTTAAATAAAAAGTCTAAACTTCAGTCATAGATGCTTTTGCCTAAACATAATAATCGTGGTATTAATAGACACATACACAATAGTAGAAGCAGTCTTTACAGTGATTAGGTGATTATATATAATCATCTAAGAATATTATATGATTCTGTTTGGAAAATAATTGAAAATGATTATAATCTCTTTTTTTTTTTGGTTTTATTTTGTAAATCGAAAGGAGCCTGAAGAAAGTCTATGTAATGCATAAAGAACTTGAGTTCAGAGAGAGGATATGATTAACCAATATTACACAACTGATTAGGGAAAACTGGGTGTGTCCTGGGTCACTTGGCTATAAGTCAATTATTATTTTCACTCTATTACAGATGAATTTTTTTCTCCCCTACTTTTTTTTTTCCTGCACACCTAAAAGCACCATAAAAAATTGGAGCTTTTTTAAACTTCTTATTACAGTGGGTCTTTGAAATCCTGAAAAGAACTATAGCACAGATATAATCTCACCAAGAAAATGAAAAAAGAGGCTGGGGATATGGCTCAGTTGGTAAAGTGCTTACTTTGCATGCACAAGGCCCTGGGTTCAATCCCCATGCACCACAAAACAAACAAAAAAGAAAAAGAAAGAAAGAAAAGGCTCATCCCTTAGCAAAATTTTTATTGTTAGTTCTCTCTTACAAATGTGTGTCCTCTCTTCAGACCTTTTGGCTAACTTATCTTCATCCAAACACCATTAAAAAGACAGGTCTTCCTAATGATCTGTAATTACTTCCCAGCTTTGATTTCACTAAGAGCTGGAGGCACCAAGACTTTCGAATTTAGCAACTTTCCAGTGCTTATACATAAGATCTTTGAAATGTCCAGAGCTTAAAACAATAATTCTTTTAAACTAATCCAAGGACAATCAGTCCTCCACATCTGTGTATAACACATCTACAGTTTCAACCACATGGTTATCAAAATTTATTAGAGAAAAAATTGGGGGTGTACTGAACATGTACAGATTCTTTTTTGCTTATTGTTGTTCCCTAAATAATACAGTATAACTCTCTAAGTGACATTTACATTGTATCAGGTATTATAATCTTGTAATGATTTAAGGAAAATGGGAGAATTTCATATATTACACAATCTTATATACAAAACTTGAACATCTGCAGATTTGGGCATCTGTAGGGGACCTGGAATCTAGCATTTGAGGAATTACTGTATTGATCCTAAAACTTCATAATGGGAAAGTGCAACATTGTATTTGGTCCCTTTTCCTATCAGTTTCTGTCCTCAAATGGTGTCCCTAACTCTATATTTAACTTATTTTGTTTTATAAGTCCTTGACCCAAGTATGTCAAGACAATGCAATTTGAATGTCAATCTATTGGCCAGATAGCTAATGCTACTCAATAATTAATGATACACTTCTATTTTGGCACCCAGCTCAGGGCTCAGAAATAGAACATGAGAGGAAAAATAAAACTAGTCACTGGAAAACCTAGGAAAAAGTAGAGGATTCAATTATTTGAAAGCATGAAAATAACTAAAAGAATTCTCTATAACACCAAGTGTTTCCTTTTATTCTCTAAAGAGTCAAGCATTACTAGACTCTATTCACCACCTCAATTTGCTGGCATATCTGCATATACAGCTCACCTAGTTATTCACTATGATTTCATAAAGTTAATAGTTATACAATATATTTGCTCAGAGTCTAAGACTATACACTTATTTATGTGTTCATCAAATGTTAATAATTAGCAAATACATACTTGCACAGTTTTTACACTTTCCCAAGTAAGGATAAAATTGTCAATAGGACAGACTCAGTACCTCTGCCCTAGAACTTAGCTCCATTTTATTCTACCCCATTCTTTCTTGCTCCATTTTATTCTACCCCATTCTTTCTTCTTTCTATCTGGGACTTCAATTATATGTATGTTAAATTACTTAGCACTGCTCATATGTCTCTAAAGCATTGTACATTTTTCTTCACTCCTTTTATCTTTGTTCTTTACACTGATAATTTTTATTTACCTATCTTCACAAATATTTACTCTTTCTGACACCTTCAATACAACAGTGACTTTTTATTGTAGTTATTCTATTTTAAGTGCTACACTCTCCTTTTTATTGTCTATTTTTTTGGTAAAATTATCCATTGTTTTATTCATTCTACCTGTATCTTGCCTAATGTTCTAAAATATTTATAAGTACTTTAAAGATCTCTATCAAATGCTATATCTGAGTTACTGCAAATCAATTTATATTAGTTTTTTTGGAGGGGTGAGTATAGGTCATAGTATTTGTTTCTTCAAATTTATTTTATATTATTATGATTATTTTATATTACATTCAAATTTATTGAATATTATGAATAATACATTGTAAAAACTAGATAATGCTATATTAACATGCTGAGTGATTTTTTTTTCCACAGAACCAGACAATTTGTCTAATTTAAACTACAAACTCCTATTTCCTTACAAAGTCCATCATTTGACATTTCTGAATGAATCTTTTAACTTCCAGATTTTGTTTGTTTGTTTGGTTGGTTGGTTGATTTTTGCTGTACCCCATAGGATTTCCATCAAGTATGTCAGCCTATTTAACAGCACAGATGAGCTGGTTTAATAGCACATCACTAAGAATTTTAGTGGATTTTATATGCAGATTTGGGGTCAACTGCTCTGAGAATCTTCATTCCATAATTTTTCCCTAACTTTATGGCTATTTTTCCAACCCCAAACTATTATCTTATATCCCAAGCCAGAAAGATAATGGCTTTCTATCTTCAGGCCCTCAGGTAAGTTTGGGCATGATCTCAAGCAAAGAATCTCAAAATAGCAAATCTTATCTTTTGTACTTCATCTTGTTTTTGATCATTATCTGCCTTCAAATTGTTTGGTGAGTGTGGATACTATATATAGATATATTGTTTTCAGATTTTACAATTCTAAACTGCAGAGGGTTATTTCAACCAAACTATTCCGCTGATTCTTAAATATGTTACCAATATCCAACTGTCATCTTTTTGAAATTAAGAAATGAGTCTTATTCAACTTGGTATGACCAGGTGATGATGTTTGCCATTATATACCCATATATTAGCTGAACAATACTATTGGTTGGATTGAATATCTTATTTTGACATTCAGGTTTCTAATTATATGTTCAAATGTGAAATAAGCCATTTTCAAATAATTATATATGTTTTATTTGATGTAATTTAGATTTCCAAGAAGACTGACATGAGAAATGTTACTGTGTCTGTCTCAGAAAAGTTCAAGAAAGTAGACAAGAATGGCCATCTCAGAAAGTAGTGAGTAATTTGAGAAGCATGTGTTTTATAGCAGAAAATTTCCTAAAGGATATCTTTCTAAGTAATGGTTAGTAGTAAGGAGTTTTTTTCTATTAAGATTCTGTTATCTGTCAAAGGTAGAAATGCACCGAAATCAAATGAGCCTTGACCTTCAAAACAGCCCCCTAAATTCTTCACTTTCTGTAACATAATAAGCCTGAGGCTGAACAAGCCTTTGAAGAAAATTCCAGCCACATCTTCAGGGCACTAATCAATAGATTTTTATTAAGGCAAGATCTACCTATGCTAAGAAAATAATGTCAGTGTTAATCCAAGTCACAATCATCTAGAGATATAAAAAAACAAACACAAACTCGGCTTGAATAGGCTCACTTCCTCTCTGTGACAGGAGGGGATTTGCCATCTGTGAGTGACAGCAGAACTCCTTGGCCTAATACCTGAGAACAGTCCAGTAATCTTACTATAGAGGAAATATTTATCAATCCCTCCCTGAATATGACACATGGAAGAATAAAACATTAAATAATAAGGTTTTATGGATAAGTCTTCTATTTTTGATAGATTTCAGGAAACAATTTTATCATTGGAAGAGCTTTCTTCTATTTCTGTAAAAAGAAGTAGCCTCCCACATGATGTTTAACATACTTAGTTGAAAAGATCCAGATTGTGTGGCTTGTACTTGTGGCATGTCACTTGAACTTCTAACCAAGTGTCATTCTTCTAACATTACTGCAGAATCCTGGCTCATCATGAGCACAGAAATGGTAATCAGAGGAGTTATTTAAAAATTATAAGTAAAAATACAATTGCTAAGTGTGCATTTCTAATTTTGGAAACACACCAATCATAATTTCTTCTCATGTATTCATCTAAAGAGGTTAACTCTTTATTATCCAAGCAAACCTGTATCGGCTCCCCCTCTATGACATTGTTTGATGGGTGAAATTGTTTATAACACAGTATTGAATGCTGTAATTATCAAGTGTATTAATCAGCATTTCCCAGAGAAACAAAACCAAGTGTGTGTGTGTGTGTGTGTGTGTGTGTGTGTGTGTGTGGGTCCTTGTGTGCTATAAATATACTTTGGAGACACACAGTTAGCATTCATGAACATTAACCTAAAAAGGGCATAGTAGCACCTTTTATGTTGTCTTCAACAAAATTTTTAATGTTCTAATACTATCTATTTTATAATATTATGAATATTTTAAGAAATTGTATCATTCAATTATGGATGCTGGCAAATCCCAATCTTCAATTGGCAAACTATAGACCCATGGGAGCCAACAATATAATTGTTTCCCAAGTCCCAAGACTTAATAAACAAGAAAACTGATATCGTAGTTCAAGTTCAAAGGCAGGGGAAAAAACGATATCTGAGGTCCAGGCAGTTAGGCAGGAGGAGTTTCCTATGACTTCTGAGAGGGTCAGAATTTTTTATTCTATTTAGACCTTCAACTGATTGGATGGGGCCCACTTTATCAGGGAGAGAAATCTGTTTTCCTCAGTGCGCCATTCAAATAGTAATCTTATCCAGAAACACCCTCTGAAGGATCTTTGACCCAACATCTGGACATTTTTTGGCATGACCAGGTTCACACAGTTAACCATTAAGTGAATCAAGGGAATGTGAAGCAGCTAACTTGTTTCAAGCAATTTGCCTCCACTAAGCATTACCTTGAAAAGAATATCAGCCTCAGCTCTGATTTCAATAACCAGATAAAGAACTGTAATGATTTGTAATAATACATTTTTTCTCAAGTGTAGATATTAAGAATTGGTTATATTTGATACACACAATTGATCCTCATTTCCTTCTAGGAAGACAACATTCTGACCGTTCTTGGCATTTATCTTTCCCATTTGTTCGTGTACCAAAATGAAAATGCTGTTCCAAAAGTGAAACATACTTTGGAGACACAGTTGATATTAATGAACATAAACCTAAAAATGCTGCAGTAGCTTCTGACAGAGATGTCATCAACAAAACTTTTAATGTTTTTGAAAATGTCATTTTAATTGTTTTAGCTCTATCGAAAAACAATAATCACGGTGGGAAAGGTTACCAAAAAGAAACTCCCACTCTCAGTCCTAACACCTGGGTTCTAACTCCAGTTCAAACATTTAACTAGGTATATATGCATGAGTATGGTATGTAATTTCTCTCATCCTTGGCCTCCAGAAAAATAAAATGGGGAGATCAAATGATTAAAATGGAAATTCTGGATATTTCTCGACAACTCTGAATTATAGTCCTCACTCAATTTAATTAACAAACATGTATCGATTATCTATGAACCACATGTGTAATCCTATGCTGGGCACCTGCAGGGACACAAGGATCAATAACACATAATTCCTTTACTTCAAGAGATTCACCATCTGGTGAGAAAGAGAAATGAATCCCTACTTCTCTCTAATGTAAGAAGGACTGTGACAAATATTTTAACTAAGGCTCAAAGCTAAAGCCATAATAAGAAAAAGGCAAGAATAATTAATTTCCTCCAAGGTAATGGAAGATATGGTATGTTATGTGAGCAGGAATTCAATACATTATGTAACCCTCTGAGCTAATTTTTTTTTTTTTGTAAAATGTAATTTCTTCTCCTTCCGGTAACACTAGCTAGTCGACATTCCCCAGTTTTCTCTTTGAATTGGAAGTAGCTGGGTAACTCAAATCAATTGAATAGAGACAAAAGGCAGATATATTCTTTCCAGGATCCACCCCAGAAAAGTATGACATGTAATAACAACCTTTGTTAGCCAGTTTCAGGCAATATGGTAGCAATTTGGGGGCCATAATGGTGGAACTCAAAAAAGGTGATGTCTTGAATGATTGTGTGAGTCTGAGTCCTTTTATTGGCAACATATGTTGGATCATGGCATAAGTATGAAATATTACCTTCAGTCACTTAATTTTTGTAGTTAAATAATTTAATCCCTTGGGTTAATAGAAAATTTGGTAACTTTTGGTAAAGTCGCACCACGTGTACTAATTTCATAACAAACAGATTATGTGGTAAGAATTAACAATGGGGTATTGATAGGTTTGAAATTTATTTCAGAGGCAAAAAATACAGTAACCCATATTTCATAAGGGCAAAACACTAACAGGGAAATCATGATAGAAAAATAGATAGAACTAAAGAGAGAAACAGAGTGACTCATAATCACAGTTACAGATTTTTAGCAGTCTCTTCTCTTAGTGACTGAAAAAATAGAAATCAGAAGAAAGTAAAAGATCTAAACACCCTTGATCAACCAGACCTAAATTAGATTCATAAAATATTTGATCCAAAAAACTGGAACTATATAACCTATTCACGAAAACAAAGAATGTTTACCCAAAGTATAGATGAACCATAAAGTATGTCTCAGAAATTTTTCAAAGAATTAAAATCATCCAGAATACTTTTATAATCATATGAGTTAAATTATTAATCAAAAACAAATATCTATAAAATTTACAAATATTTAGAAATTAAAAAGTACCCTTCTAAATATACATAGATCAAGGAAGAAATTACCAAGCAAATCAGAAAACATGTCTACCTGAGGAAAATTAATGCCTTTAAATTCTCATTATTTAAAAAGAGGAAAAATTAAAATCAATGATCTAAATTTATGCTCAATAGAAGCAAAGATCAAAAAGGAACAACGTTGACACAAAAAAATGGAGAATAAAAGAAATAATAAAAGATGTTAGATACTAGCAGAATCACAGTTGATTCTTTTTTTTATGTTTATATATATTCTTATTCTGCTTCTTTTCTATAAAGAAACAGAAATAAGGTGTGTCTCAAAACTTTTTAAATTTATTTATTTGTTCTAATTAGTTATATATGATCTCAGAATGCATTTTGATTTATTGAACACAAATGGAGCACAACTTTTCATTTCTCTGATCATACATGAAGTAAAGTCGCACCACATGTGCAGTCATACATGTAAATAGGGTAATGATGTCCATCTCATTCCACCATATTTCCTGCCCCTATTCCCCTTCCCTACCTCTCCCTCCACTTTGCCCAATCAAGGTTCCTCCATTCTTCCCAGGACTCCCCCTGTTATGGATCAGCATCTACTTATCAGAGAGAACATTTGGTCTTTGTTTTGGGGGGATTGACTTACTTCATTTAGCAAGATATTCTCCAACTCCATCCATTTACCTGCAAATGCCATAATTTTATTCTCTTTTAATAGACTAATATTCTATTGTTTATACATACCATAGTTTCTTTATCCATTTATCTATTGAATGCCATTAATAAATGGTATGTATTCAAACTAAAAAGCTTCTTCTCAGCAAAGGAAACAATAATGTGAAGAGAGAGACCCCAGAGTGGGAGAATATCTTTACTACACGCACATCAGATAGAGCACTAATTTCTAGGATATATAAAGAATTCAAAAGACTTACCACCAATAATAATAATAATAATAATAATAACCCAATCAATAAATGGGCTAAGGAACTGAACAAACACTTCTCAGAAGATATATATATCAATCAACAAATATATGAAAAAATGTTCAACTTCTCTAGTAATTAGAGAGATGAAAATCAAAACTACTCTAAGATTTCATTTCACTCCAGTTAGAATGGCAACAATCAAGAATACAAGCAACAATATGTGTAAGTAAAGATATGGGGGGAAGTACACTCATACATCACTGGTGGCACTGCAAATTGCTGCAATCGCTCTGGAAAATAGTATGGAGATTCCTTAGAAAACTTGGAATGGAACCACCATTTGATCCAGCTATCCTACTTCTCAATCTTTACCCAAAGGATTTAAAATCAGCATACTATAGTGAGGCAGCCCCATCAATGTTTATAGCAATCAATTCACACAAGTTGATTCTCTGGGGGAAAATAAAAGGATTAATAAAGCTAACATCCCAAAAAGATCAGGGGAAAAAAATTTAAAAAACCATAAATTATCAATATAAGGAATGAATTAGAGATTATAAACATAGATCCTACAGTCTTTAAAAAGAAAATAAGGGGACATGATCAACTTTATGTCAGTACATGGAAGAACTTAAGTAAAATACAAACATTTCTTTGCAAAATTCAGTGTACCAAAATTGACACAAGAACAAATAAACAATCTGAAGAGCCATTACATCTAATTTTTTAATAAAAAGAATTTAAATATTTCCATAAAGAACTTCCATGCCCACATGGTTTTCCTAATTAATGCTAACAAATATTTTAGAACTACTAATATACCCAAACCGTTTCAAGTAATACAATAGGGAAAGTCACTTTTCAACTCATTTTATGAGGCCAATCTAACTCTGATATTAAAACCTAACAAATTATTAGAAGAACAGAAAATTACAAACCAATACCCCTCATGAATATAAATATAGAAATTGTCACCAAAATATTAGCAATTTGGATCCAGCATTATAGGAAAAGAGCATGTGGGATGGGACATACATTGGTATGATATTCTTTGGAGAATATAATCTGTTTTCTCAAATGCAATTGAGAAATGTTATGTTATTGACATTGACACCAAGTATACTAGTCAGGGCTCTCCAGAGAGAGGTTGATAGAGAACTTGACTGATTGATTGATTGATTATTGATTAATTTTAAGGAATTTGTTCATGTGGTTGTGGAAACTGGAAATTCCAAAATCTGCAGAACAGGCTGGCAGGGCTAGAAACCCAGGGAGGAGCTGGTGTTGCAGCCAGAGTCAGAAGACTGTCTGCTGGCGGACTGCGCTCTTCTTCAGGGGAGTTCAGTCTTTTCCTTTAGGCCTGATTTGATGAGGCCCTCCCACATGATGGAGGGTGATATTCTTCATTGAAAGCATACTTATTCCATTGTTAATGTCATATAAAATATATCTTTACAGCAATATCCAGACGTTTTTACCAATTACCCAAAATTGATCTATAGGCTCAATTTCATTGCACTTTAGAATCACAGAAGACATTTGTAGATACTTCCAAAAGTATATGGGAATGCTAAGGACCTAGGTTAAGTAAAGCAATCTTGGAAAATAAGAATAAATACATTGCCCATTTTAAGTCTTAATGAGAAGCTATAATGAAGAGACTGTGGTCATGATGTAAGGATGGGCAAACAGATCAATGGATAGTAAAATTTCTTAAATAGAAAATAAAAATTTATTAATATTAAAATTTAAAAATTATAAACAGCATTTCAAATAACACTGTTAAGAAGATGAAAAGTCAGGGCTGGGGTTGTGGCTCAGTGGTAAAGTGTTGCCTAGCATACATGAGGCACTGGATTCGATCCTCAGCACCACATTAAAAACAAAATAATGCATCTACCTAAAACTATTTAAGCACAAAAAGTACTTTTAGAAAAATTATTATTTCAGTTGCTCAAACATTGATTATTCATATAACTACTATATACCAGGTGACATTCTAATAACATGTACTAAATTCAGTAAACTCATAGCCTTCGTGATTATACTACACTGAGTAGAAAAAGACAACAGCCAAAATAATGAATTACATAGGCCATCAGATGATGGTGATAACTACTTTGCAGAACACTAATACAAACAAAGAAGACTGGTAGAGTCAGGTTAGGAGTTTCCATTATAAACAGAGAAGTCAGAAAGACCACATGAAGAGATGCCATTTGAAGGAAGGAAGGGAGTTATGTGGATATCTGGTAAAAGAACAGTCTAGAAAGAAGCAATGCCAAAACATAAGCCTAGAGATGAGGGGCACTTCACAATCTGACTCAAGGGTGGCACATCTGGTTGTTAGTCTTGAGTGGACAAAGATAGAAGAAGGGAGTTTGCAGTCTATAAAAATCACTTATGAGTGAGAGAGGTGATGGTGCCTGAGATGGAGATACTAACAGAGATTGCTGTGTTAAGTGGTCAGATGCTCAACAAAATAGAGCCCCTAGGAAATGGTAAAGTATTGGCTGTGGGTAGTGTGACTCCAGCAATTTACTCTGATCCTCCAAAACTAAAAGTCACTATTGCATGAGATATTGAACAGCAAGTTTATAATAAGTAAAAGTTTATCTAATGAATACAAAAGTTTTAAATCTGTGTCAACCTAACAACAAAACCTCCACATAGATAGATAGATATCCAAATTATAATGAAAACTGACAATCCAAAAGGTTATGTGGACATATAGAAAGTTATTAATATATTCCT